CTTTGTCCTAATTCAAGTGCCACTAAAATAAAGGTTAGCCTCACTGACTGTATGTAACTTGAGTGGAAAAGTTTTTATAAATTATCTTATTGTTTCACAGGCCTTGGAGAGTGCTGTTGTGGATGGCAATGAGGGTGACTCATCTGGCTATAGAGCTGGAAATGGAAATGTAATATTAAAGAAAATAAATAACAAGACTGAAAAGAGAATTAACTGAGGAAATGAGGTGTGAATGCGTGAGACAGAGGTTAGTCTACTGCATGTAAGTAGATATCACCTAATTATTTGGGAAGCAGAACTTAGTAAGGGAACTGTAGGATCATGAGTGAACTAGAGCACTCTAGGATATGCCTAGCTTTTTAACTTATTGCAGCAGGTAGATCTGCCATTCTGGAGTAGCTTGAAAACCCCTTTCTTTGAAAGAAGTGCATTATGAGTATTGATTGATTTGTATTGCTTACATATGTGTTACGATGGATTTTTTGCATTGCCTATAAGCAGCTTATCACATTCAGATTTCCAAAATCATTCTTTTAAAGAAAAACAAAAAAAAACACCATAAATTTACTTTAAAACACAAGAGCTAGGTCTAAAAACTTAACATAAGCTTTGTTGCATGAAAATCTAAACTTAGAGCTAGCAATATAACCAGGGCAGTGTCTCTCAGTTCTCAGTAGAATCCAGGCCTCCATTCTTACCAGGAAGAGTGTCACTGTCCTCACTTTAACCCCAAATGTATGCATTACCTTGGAGTAGCCCTAGTGCTTCCTTCCTCACTATTTATCACGTACAACTTTTTGAGAACTCTCACGCTTTTACAAATTAATCTGTAAAGGCAGCTGAGACTGAATTTGGTGCACAAAGTTACTTTTCTATGTCATTTGACAACTGACTGTACCCTTACTGCTATGGAAACACTTTGCTTTTCCTAGGTCAGTTACTCAAATGTCACTACAGCATCAGGTCATAAAACAAACCCCTCTCCAAAATTTTATGCAAAAATTCATTAGAAAGAATGAATATTTTAAACCATAACTCCAGAAATGTATCGAACTATATCCATAATAACTAAGTAATGTGGATAATTGCACATGCTGTTGATGTGTAAGATGTGCTGACACTCATAAAAGCATTGTTGCTGTGAAGTCTCTAAGAGGTTACACAAACAAGGCTTTCAAAATAAAAGCAATTAAGAAGAAATTCAAAATAAAACCTGGGATTTTGTACGCATGGAAGCTACGAACAGAGGACAAAACTGCTCAATAATTTTCCATGTGAAACCGTGTTAACAATTTGTATCAACAAAATAAATAGAGGTTAATTGAGGTGTGCTCATTAACATTTTGCTGTCTGAGCAAATAGTTTTTATTTGTAAAACTAATTGAGACTTTTGCAGTTTGTTTTTTGAAACTGTGATGTAGACATTATCATACAATCCTGTTAGAAAAACAGAATAAAAATTGCATGATCAGCTTCTTAATTGTAGATATTAATGTATTTATATTCATATTATGTATTAGTTGCATAATATATCCTTTTATAATGAAAATATCTTAAATTATTTATATATACATATATATAATTCTTTTGTCAAAATAGATCATATAGAGAGACCTTTTTATTCTCCAGGTTTTATTTTGGATTTAGAAAGAAACAAGAATGGTATAACTGAGGATTATGAGATTTCTTATTTTATACCTCACAGACTTTAGAATAGTCTTTATGGCAGGGCAGAGGTCTGGAGGCTTTTCCATAGATAAATCACAGGAGGTTGCAAGTCTCTAAGTTGGAGCCCACCTGGGTCAGGCCCCACAGATCGGAACGTACAAGTGAGATCACATAATAATGCTACTTATTCAGAAACTTGCCAAAGCCATTAGTGATAATTGATAACGTGGTGGAGGAAGCAGGGGTTAGCACAGCTAGACCATACTCTACACTCATCTGTTTAGCTTCAGACTTGTGGAAATCACAGCACAGGTCCTTGTAACTAGAAGAAGGTCTTTCTTAAATCTGAATAGACTTTGTTCCCAATTATTTTTTTTCATAGGATGGGCTGTTTGACACTTTCAAGGCACTTTACAAGGCCCCTAAAACAAGGTACTGAAATATTACTAAATTTGTGTTCTTGACAGCTAAAAAGACTAAAGATCTAATAGTGTTTGTTATTTGCCTTATACAAGCCAGTTCATTTCCCAGGCACGTAAAATACAAACATAGTCCTTTTTTAAAGGAAATGAACCATTTGGAAACTGAAGAACAAAATAAATCAGATTCCCCAATGTCTCATCAAGTGCTGGAAGCCCGAATCTAAACTTAGAAAAGGCAAATGAAAATACGTTCTGTATTAAAGTGTCAAGAGTGGTTTAGAAAATTTTGGTTGTAAAGTAAAGTGTCATTTATAGTATATGCTTGGATATTCCCTGAAAAAAAAGGCACTAGGACTTTGGGGGTTGGACAGAGCAAGAGTATAATGGCTGCCCTTCCAGATATGCCTAGCATTCAAAGTAGGGTCCCTCTGCACAGGAGCTCTTACTGCCACAGCTGTAGAGGAAAATTCAGTTTTTACACTCTGTGCTGCAGTGCAGGATGAGTTGTGGCAGGTCTACATACCTCTGTTATATCCCACATCAGATGTTTTTGTAAGAAGGGATAGCCAGGTCCAAGAATGATTCAAATACAGCACTCACATTGCTGAGGATCCATGTGTGATCTGCCATCTTTACCCTTTTTCCTCTGCCATAAGCATCTTCCACCATTTTGAACTTCCAAATGGGAATCTACTGTATATTGGGAAGGAAGAAGGGGAGAAAGAAAGCAGTGAGTATTATAAAAGTCTGTATATTACATGCTGTAACTCTATAACTCATTTATTTTTTTAAACTCCTTTTGAGGTACTGGCGTCAAACTACAGTGTCTGTAGGTAATCTAGCATAGATCTTCAGCAAGGGACTGACTGTCATATATGCAGATTTAAGAGTTCTGATTTGGCCAGTCATAGAAGTGTCAAAACTGCAAAAATGCAAAGTAATTATATAATAATTGCTATTGGGTATAAATGAGCAGACTGCACATACAAAAAAATGTAGGCATGGATCTGGTATGTCTGAATACTTGGAAAAATAAAAAAACTGATAACCACTTAATTAAAACTGCAGTACTCCCAGTTTTGAAAGGCACTATGAAAGTTCACTAAGATACTTCATACAAACTCCTTTGATCGTGAAGCACCATTCCTTCTTAAACTGCCATAATACACAGCGAGCAAGATTTGAGACATAGAAGTTTCTGCATTTTCATGTCCATTACCTGCTGTTTTTCATGCCACCCTTTCCTTTCTAAGCCACAAAACAGACAACAAAGACTTTCTGACCATCTGATGTTTGATCTCTCTTCTCAGAAAATAAACCGTGGTTCAGCAGCACTAAAGGTTACAGGTAGGCAGGTACTTTTTTCTTTTAATTCCCTTTTAAAATATCAGCTACAGTTAATTAATCAGACTTGAACGCACTGTCTTTATGATTAAAAAAAAAAAAAGGTATATATTCTTAAGGACTTTTTCTGAAGTACTTTCATTTATAAAAGTATAGCAGTCTAACAGAAAGTAAGTGCATGCTAAATAGGTCCTGGCTGCTATTGGTAACTCTGTTCATATTTGAAATGTTTTCTCCCTCAGCAAATATTCACCAAATAAAGTGAACAGCCTTTCTTGTGTTTACTTCCTTGCTAAGACAGATGCTGCCTTATTATCGGTAAACCACCTTCTGATATAAAATACTAAGTGCAAATCAGAATGGATCTAAATATCTAAATATTGATATTTGAAAGTTGTAGTTGGTCTGTTCCAACAAAAGATGGCACTGCTGTTTTCTTCAGAACTGTAGGGTCTCTTCATTGAAATTAAATACTTTTAAAACAGTTCCCTCATCTTTGTCACAGAATATGCTCATTGAGATTGGTATTTGTTATTACTTAGCTACTACTTAGCTACCAAAGGCCTTAGACCTTTGAAAAGCATATATATATCCACAGGATGTCCCAACTGGAAAAAACTAAGTGCCAGTAATTCACAAAATACTCCTACAATTCTAACTGCATGAACAACCTCTTGGAGTCCAATTTGATCTTGATGGTTATTTTATGGAGACAGTTTTGTCACAAATAAGAAATAAAAGGAAAATATTTTTGAAGATTCTCTGTGACCTGTCTTTTTTAATGAGATATTTATTAACAAAATTAATTCAAATGCCCCTGGATCCAGGTGCACCCTTGACATTTTCTGCCTATATTTTACACGTGTGCTCCAGATAAGATTTTACAGAACTTTAAACTTGTTCCATTGTCTTAATTCAGATGAGTTAGCTCTGTACTTCAGAGCTGAGCAAAAATTAGGTATGAGTACTAATCCCACAAATGGTATAGATTTAAGATGACAGTAAGGAACAAATAGAATGTACTTACTTACTGTGAAATAAATACACTGCACATCCCCAATTACAAAATAAATTTGCAGGAGGTCTGTGTTCCAAATTAAAGCATCTACCTGTTCCCATGACTAAAACCTAAAAATAAAGCAAAAGTAATAATCGTGGTAATAATATGTAGAACATAAGTAGCCATTTTAGATAAAACTGAATTTAAAAAATGGACCTATTCAGCATCTTGTGGGAATACACAAAAATAATTCCTTATTTGTCATCACCTTATTCCAGTATGATCTGAAGTATGTAATTTAGCCTGAATGACATCATCAAAACCTCAAATGTCCCAAGTTATCCAATATGCTTTATGTCAAGTGGAACCAAAAAGATTCAGATGCGTTTGGATAAAAATTACAATATATTCTGATACCAAGGGAGCTTTTTTCCTGTCATTTTTTGGTGATATTTCTGTATGTCAGAAGCTACATTTCAGATATGCTTTCAACTTTCATTCTGGGTTTGAGAGAATACAAAGAATACTAAGAATACAGTCATGTTATGCTGCAAGAGAACCCTTCTTGTTCTTTCTCTATCCTTTCCACACTTTTCTCCAAAACAAGGATAAAAAAAATAAAACCTGCCAGGCAAATGATCCTGTATTCTCAAAGCATCCTGAAGTTGAGAATAAAGGTTTTGGTTTTTTTTTAAAGAAGCATGTAACAAACATCTTTCAAACTACACAAAACTATTCACAACATGGTAAAACCCCAACACGTTCCACCCTCCTTGCTGCTAGTGATCACCTCCATTCAAAATGGCAGCCGTGGGAAGTATTCAAAGATGTTCACAGAAGCTTGTCACCATGAAACTAAAACAGTTCAAACACTGAAATAATGCAATTTCTTAAAACGGTAATACTGACCTTTTTGTTGGCAGAGGTGTCCCTCCATGCAGCTCACTAGGTCAGTCTCACCAGTAAATAGGACAGTGACGCATTGACAGTGCTTACAATTGTCTTCAACAAGTGGAAGGAGAACTGCAGCTTTACAGGTCTTTGCACATTTGCACAGCAGGAAATCACCTTGCCTCATTAAGAATACATTACCACTTTGTTTGTCTGTTCAGAGTTTTTAATGAGATTCCCCTTAAATTACTGTTTGGAGAGAAGCAGAATATTAGCACACATGTATTTCAGTCATATGTTCAATGCAGTAAATTCAGGGAAAAAAAGAAGTGTCAAAGAAGTGCAATATGTGGGTTTTAGATATTCTCAAAATTAAGCTTTAAAAATTACTATAATGTGTATTTTATCCTTTGTTGTGTGTATTAATCCTGTTTTAATATAACCTTGGAGTTGGGCATTCCTCCAAATTTAAACTTTTTTTAATTTTCCAGTTTTACCCTGGTGGGTTTTTTTTTTTCCCCCCCTTACCTGATCCTGCAGGCTGCATTATAAAGCTACTTTTCCCCACATTCTTCCTGTCCTGTCTCAGAACTGTTTGCCATTACTGTGTTCTGCCTGCTTCTCTGGAGAACTGTGTCTGTATCATGGCTGCATTCATTCAAACTGGAAATCAGAAGAAGGTGAGTACTGAAGAGACACTGCAGGAAACTGTCTTTCCAAGGAGCTGAACTTTCTGCTCATTCATTGCTCATGGAGAGCTATGCTGACTCCTGTCACAACCCCAACTTGCAGCTGTTCCCCAGAGGTAGCCAAACAGGCACAGCTCAGGAAATTCCTCTAATTGAATTATTTTCAGGTGCTGAAAACATTCATTTTATTGACAAAGTACTTATGGAAAAGAAGAGAAAGTAATACAGAGAAAAAGAACTTGAGGAAGAGGGACAGAATTTTATGCTTAAAATTAATGCTAACGTAATCAAAAATCTTCATAGTAGTCAATCACATTGCAACCTTCCCCACATCTTCTTAAAAATGCACTTGATTATTTACTACAAGAACACAGTAATTTTCACCATGTACCACTGTTTCATGACGCTGCATTAGCAAATCAAGCAGTAGACCAGGGGTTGCAGCTGTCTTTCAAATGCTGACATTCTTTCACAATTAGTACCACAACAAACAATGATATGCAGAGTTAAAAAACACTCAGCATTTCCTGCAGGTGATATTGATTTATCAAGATACTAATGTAGGTATGCTGAAAACTTAGAAGTACATTTAAATTAACTCATAATGAGGACGTACTTAACATAGCATAGGGATAATTAAGGAATTTGAGGTAAAGGACACTTCATTTTTGTACTTTCTACAAAATTACCATGCACTAAATTTAGTGAAAATCCTTTAGACCAATTCGTTTTCTCAATATCTAATTATTAAACAAGTTACCTCCCCACATGTCTAAAAATTTCGTAAATGCATTCTTTAAGATCATATCAAAATCTATATGCTAAAAGACTAAGCACAGTACAATGTAATAGAAAACGTCAGAGTATGGTATCACTGTACCATGACCAAAATCCCTGAGCCCCAACCTTAAAATCCAGTTGTATGTTTTTGTATTGTTTTCAAGAGTCTACTATAGATATTCAAGAATCCTGAGTAAGAGATGGTTAAGAAATGATTCTCGTGGCATCAAGACCTTGGCTGCCTGACACAAGATGACTGTGTTAATAAAGAATTTGAAACATTGAGTTAAGCTTTCACAGTGTCAAATTGTACAGAATCAGGAAAAATAAAAAATAATTAGGCTCAAGAAAATCAGAGTAGTAGTGTAATCTCTTTGTCTGTGAGAATGGCATATCATAAATATTTCTTCAGTCATCAGAGAAAAAGCATTTTTGCTCTCCTCCCCTTTACTGCTGCTTATAAAATGGAGGAGCAGGGCCTCTATAATTAGCTTGGAAAGTAGCTCCTCCTCTTCCTCCCACCACATGCTTTGGCTTGAGAACAATAGCTTCATACTTATAACAAAATTAAACACAAGGCGCTTACCTTTCTGTAGCATAAGTGAGAAATGGTCAAGCCACTGGTTAGTGACATCAACTCCTGGAAGCATTCATAATCACTGGGCTTGAAGTTCATGAGATCCCCACTGTGTTGTGGTTTGAAGCAAATCTGAAAGGAAATAAACACATTCTGCAGTTTGTTCCTGTCTTTGTAAAGGCATTTTGTAGACTCGTTGAAGAAAATATGAAATTTAGAATAACTATCTAAGATGCTCATTGTCCTGATCAATAGCTATTACACTATTTTAAACAAATGGATAGACTGCACTCTCAGTCTCTGGCAAATGGAAGTTGTACACACTTACCTTTATATTTATCTACACTTGAACATGTAGTTTTTTGGACCAAGTGAAAAAGTCAGGAATCTAGTAAGGAAATTATTTTAAAAAGAGATTTTAAATTCCAATAAAAAAATTAATTTTGTTACAAAATTTGATATTGAAAATCTGTTACAAAGAAATTTGACAGTTCTAGATTTCTGCTGTAGATTAAGTAAATACATTTAGAAAATTTCTGAAACAGAACACACACTTTGTCTCTTCAACTTGCCTAAAGAAATCAATGTTTTCCTTAGGTTCCTAATAATTGAAATCAATGCTGTTGAATTTCAAACATACTAGTACTGTATGTAAACTTTGTTTCAATACACAATATGTTTAATGGATCAAAGAGCTTTGTTAATACAGTACAGTTCTGATTATTTCAGCATTTATTTCAAACAGCTTTTTTTAACACACTTGGAAATATATCAGAAATACTCACTTTAATTAATAATACTATTTAAAATTAGTATGAAAAAGTAAACACAGTCTTCAGCCTCTGTTTTATAAATGGCAGTTAAAGTAATGCAGAATGGAAATCCAATATCTAGATTACAGTATGCAAAAAAAAAAAGTTATTTTAATTGCTGATATTTATTTGCTGCAGGTGTAATTAGGACTCCATCTTTGTGTCCATTAAATGCAGCTTCCATGTGGAATATTCATAACATATATACATATATATTTTAAAGTAGCTTTAAAAGTTCTGGAGTACCAATAAATTATTTGATTCTAATTTCTGTGACATCAAAAAGAACTATGACTTTTTCCTCAAGATTTACATCATTATAATTTAAAAAAAATACAGGATTCCCTAAACTTATACTTTTCTTACTTATTGTTATCTAATCTTTTTTTCTCCCTTTGGTTTTATGTTACTTTTCCTCTTGTATCCCAAAATTTGAACTCTTGAGTTCAATCATCTGAGTATAAGACCTTGAAAGAAGGGAAAGATGAAACAATTAGATGCTACTTTGAGGGTTCCACAAAGTTATTCTTGCAGTTCTGAGGGAAATTCAGAGATTATGACTTTCAAGCTCAAATGGAAAGGACCCAATGGAAAACAGAAGAGCTATCAAATGATCTATTAGTTGTTTGTGTGATGCTATCATCTCCCAACAATATGCTGGTTGTATCTAGATCCTTCCTAGTAATAAGATAACAGATGTTATTATTCTATAAGAGCTGCTTCGAAAGTAATGCCTCCTATTTTATTATTCTGGCCCACAGCATCAGAGGTGCATGTTGGTGGTATGGTGGTACAGGATGAATTTTCTCACCATTCAATTTTGCTGTTGTGAGACAAACGGCAGCAGTGGGACACTCTGCCAAAATGATGTATGAAGCAAATGTGTGTAAATGAATTCCTCCATGCTGAGCATTTGTAGATAGCAAACAGTGGATGTGAGCGCAGTGAGGTCATCTCCACCAGTGCAGGTTTTTACAAGTGTGGCATACAGGCTCTGGTTCATCACTGGCAAAAAAAAAAAAAAAGAGAAGCATATCTTGTGGCAGTGACTATGTTGAAAAAGAGCAGCTGAGAGTTTGCTCCATCAAATAATTTAATTGTGCTCTTTGCATCTGTTGTAGTTCCCATTGAAGTAAACAGGAGGCATTACTTCCAGAGTATAACCTTAAAATGAATGGCATGCTATATGGATTGCTCTCTATCCAGCCTGTCCTTTTGGAGTGAATTCTTATGAGGATCTAGATAAATTGTATATAATATAGCCTTTTTTAAGTGATGCAAATTCCTATATACCTATTAAGGTAATATTTTATTAAATTAATGCAATTAAAAAATAAAATAGCTAATTAGGTATTTATAACTTGTGTAACAACAGCCCAATTTGTACCATGGCTGATCTAAATCACAGCATGGGAAGGGACCTCTGGACTTCAGCCAGTTCTCACTGTCCACTCATCTATCTGGTCTTCCTTTTTCCAGATCTAGTCAGTCCAGTTACCAATCTCAAAGAACTTTCTCATTTCTGATTGTCTTTTTGGGTGTTCTTACAGGCTGGTAACTTGCTCATCTACTGATATCGTGGTTTTATATACTAGGTGTAAACGTATGGTCTGTGATTCTTTAATCTCTCATCAAAAGGAAAGAAGACTACCAAAACAGTAGAATAAGATCCCAAGTCAAATGCATCCAAAATGGAGACCAGACTAGAAAATCACAGTGCATTTTCTCCGATTCTCCAATACAGGCATAAATGACAGAGAAGTAAAAATTGTGGCCATGAAACTTCTTTCAGATCTTAACATACAAGGATGAAATTGTGTTAAAGATCCTCTCTTACCTCCATGCTTATTTTATTATTTGGGTTTCTTGATTCTCTAGCTTATGATTTATAATCTTTTTATCCTGTTACACCTCCCCCATCTTATGGAAAACATATTATGAAGGATTCTTTTTTTTTACATCACCTTTTAATTTAACCAAAATCTGTTTCTAATTTTAGTGGTTGGGATTATAAATTACTGCAAAAATTTAAACAGATGTGAATTTCCTTCTCATGGTGAGAAGGCAAACCTGGTCCAGATGCAGAATAACAATGCTAAGTGTGGCAATGGCTGGGCCCTCTAACGTTTGTAAGGGATTTTATAATATAATATATATACATATGTGTATATATATTTAAAAATCTCTTAATCTCATTCAAAACATTTTTTGAACAGGCTATTTTGTTCCTATCCATTTTAAGGTGTTTCTTTGCACGGAGATCTGTACTGAGTAAAATTGTAAAAGTTGTTGATGGCATATAACAATTATTTTTAAGGTTCTGTGGAATACCTTTGAACAGTTCAATTAAGTAAAGCTCATACTTTAATACCTCTTATTCTTTCTTTTTATTTTCTTTCCTAATTTTTTTTCCTACTAATTTTGATAGAATAGGCAACATTTTTTTTTCCCTTTACAGGGAATTTTGTATGTTATTCCATAACATGTTGGAAGTTTAGAAATATATAATTAAAAAAGGAGATGTAGCTAAAAAGATAAAGAAGGAGATCTAAGTCATTAGTCCCGTTTAGTTGCCTACAAGTTAAACCAGTCAGTCGAGCAAGTACATATTCAGTCTGAATCTACATTCACCATATTTAAAATTTATATGTCATCTAAAAGAAATGATGGTAAATATGTATAAAATAAATGAATTTTAATTGCTGTTATTTTATTAGATAAAAAGCTTCATTACCTTTATACTAGTTTCAGAAACCAAAGAAATCCCTCCAAAAATTCCTGAAGAGCTGAGCAGGACAATCCAACGGAGCTGTTGCAACACAAAGTGATTACTGTGCAGCATCTTCCAAGGGAATGGTTGTTAACTTAATGAAATAATAAAAAATACCATGATTAGCATCAAACGAGGTACGGTGTTTAATAACATCCAGCAGGAGTTACCAGTTCTGATATTTATTTGTGTGACAACAAGAATGGCTATATTTATTATGCTTTGTAAAATTAAAGTGGGTTAAAGTTTGACCATTTCACATAATTGCTTTTCAAGCCAACAGTGGTAAAATGATACTGAAAATCTGACCCTGAAAAGAAATTATTTTTTTTTCTGTGACAACAGAATTAGACAAGATTAAGAAGGTATATAATTGCATTGAAGTGCAATGAATTAAAGTCCTTCTTCAGTACCACGTATCTTTCACCTAGTACAGTTTAAGTCATACTTTTTAAGAAACTCAGGCCTAATATTTTCAGTTGTTTTCATTTTATAGTAATGCCCTCCTTAGGGAAGTCCTATGAACTCATAAAATAATGGTATAATGGTTAACTCTGATCTGGCTCTGAGTTCAGTTTGTATCTTTTCCACAGACTTCCCATGTCCAACAAACCTTGGACAAATTCTTCTATCTAGTTCAGAACACTCCATCTATTTTAGTAAAACTGGTTATGCTCTATTCTTGAAGTGCCATGATGATCAGGGCCACTACTGAGAATGCTTTTAACTGGAATTCTGACAGATTTCTTTTCCAGGTTTTTGTCTGTGATGCTAAGATAGATTTTCATATATTATGAAGTAAATAGTGTGAAATAACAGGTTTTTTGTTTTCTTCCATCCTCAAATCCTCAACTTTAAGATAAATATGCAGGAGAAGCCATTTTGCAAATACAAAGTTAATCAGTTTCATAATTCTACATTCTAGCATCTTTTTTTAATTCTCTCCCTTCTACTTCACCATTTTTCATCTGCACATACATCAAAATGATGAAACAAGTCCTAACTGTAAAGATTTTCTTTCTGCCTTTAAACATTATGCTCACTCACATTTGTAATGCTGTAATGATCATCCACTATAACTGAAAATTCTTGATGGGTGAGATTCCTTTTCATGAGCAAATTACAAATGGCAGTAAACTGAGTTTTGCCTTTCTAAAGATATTATGTGATTCAGACTCAAACTTATGATTTAAATTAAAGGAAATATCTTTTATTATCATAATAATTGATTTCAAATTAAATTTGAAAATTTCAAATTCTGATTTCAGTATCCACCTCAAAGTATATAGAAGGGTTATGTAGTCACTGTAACAGACAAGAACACTGCAACGTTCTGCTGCCTCATAAAGTGGCCATTACTCTTCATTTTCTCATCTCTATAGTATGGTGTTTTGACTTTCTTCACTGTATGTACTCCTTCAGTGCACAGAGAAAAATTCAGTTAGCTGTTCAAGCAAATGCATTTTTGTCAAAACTCTGTGGGGTTGGAGCAAGTATAATATCAATTCACAATTGACTCGCAATATCATTATAATTCAAAACTCACTCACTGTATCACAAGGATAATATCAACTCACAATATCAACTGCATTTTTGGACTAAAATGTTTATATCAAAATGCAGAAAGGAAGCCCCCCTCATCTCAAATACACATTTTTTCTTGTTATTATTAAAAACAATACGATTACTTATAAGAGTTCAAAAAGTAAAGACCTGAAGAACTATGAAGAATCTCTTCCTGACTTGTTAAATTCCAGCCCACCATAGACTTTGATGATATTTGTAATAGCTTCAAAAAGATGTTTGAGCTACAGGTAATTGGTAAAAAAGTAAAAGGTTTCTCAATTACTTTAAGATTTTGTTGCAGCTCTAAGGACTTGCTGTAGATACCACTTTTGGTACACCTAGACATACTTGAACACTAAAAATATACCTTCAGCTGCACTTTCACAAGCCATTTTGTATTGGTCTTCTTGAGTTGGTTTCAAACTGTGTATTCCTTATGGCAACTGGGGATAACCTGCACCTTGACAGTAAGCATAATATAAAAAACATCAACAAGAATCATACTGTGGTTCAACTGAATAATGCAAATTTTGTATTGTGTGGTTTGCATGTGTACTGTGATTTCAATGTCTTGCTATATTTCTCTGCTACATCAGTGGCACCATGGGATGCCATGTAACATTAAGTATCTACAAGCAAGTTAGTATTGAACATGGGATCTCTATGTATGAAATATCCAAAATAAAGTATTCAAAAAGGGCAGGAGTCTGACAGAGTTGTAACAGTTATTTACCTCCTTGATACTGAGACTTACTTAATCTGTTACTCGAGAATGGTGGGGTTTGCTTCAACTTGAGTCATTCCAAAGGGAGCTCTCCTGCTTTCCTTCTTGGCTGGGTGCTACCATCCTGATCTCTGCCTAACTGGAATTAGCCTTCATGTTGTGTGCAGAGGACAGGTAGACCATTCTAAGTGCCACATGAATCACAGTCTTTCATTTGACCGCAACATTTTTAGGCATACTATTAAAAAATGTCAGATTTGGAAACCTTTCATTTGACATTTATCTGAACAACCATAATGTAACTGTATGAAAATGTCAAAGGAGAATAAAGCTGTATTCTTATCTGTACAAATATCAAATGAATGGTTGTTTCCTCTGATATTTAGGGTCTGAAAGGGTAGAGGTCAAATGAGGTGCCTCCCCTCACAAAGGTTAGTGGTGGTGATGAACCAGGATAGTGGAGAATTCTAAGGAAATAGCTCTCACCCATACCATGGGGCTTCTTGTCCTAAGAAACTCTAGGTAGTGACTCAAAGAGAATCCCAAGGTAGCTTTAATGCTTTGCCAACAAAATAGCTAATTCCTGCCTCCTGCCCCAAAGGCTGCTTGTCCCTGACAGTTGGTTTTGTGGTTTTGTTTATTTGGACTTTTCCTGTGAAGAATGTTTCCCTTTCTAGCTCCATTTTCCCCTTTTCTAAGTAAGAAAAGCTTGCTTGCTTCTCTCTTAGTCCTCCAAACTGTACTCAAATATCTATCATGAGGGATATTGTGGCTTTGTGCTTAAGCACATGCAGTCCAGATTTTCAGAGGTTCAGTAATTATTGGAAGCATGTTGTTTGAATTTCTTCCTGTTTTTTTCAGTTTGAGAGTAAAAGCTAATTTTTTTGAAGAGGAAATACAAAAAATGACTTTCTACGTGGCTTCTTGCATTCATAGAGCTATGAATATGCAAGTTTCTGCTGAAATTTATCATTGTTTGCAAATTATGTCAGTTTCCCCTTTGATGCTCATGATCTGTAAGTATTTAGATGTCTAATTCCTACTGACATAATTCTTCACTGCATAGCCAAGCAGAGCACCCTTCTGCAGCACTGACAGTCATTCTCTCTGTAACCTTCTTGTATGCATCAATGTCATAAAACCTTTGGGGATATCCTGGTTGAACAAGTCTGGCATTTGTGGATTGTAACTACCAGTAGGGATACCAAGGTAACTGTAATCTTACAGTCCCTTTTATAAACCTCTTCTATATTACGTTGTACTGTTAGTTCAGAAAGTGAAAGTAAACAGGTGGCTCTTTCCCAAGCCTATTGATATTAAATTATTTTAACAATATTTACCCATTAGAAATAGTAAGACGCCATTCTATTTCTAGAGTCAATGCATTACAGAGTCACCACTTTACAAGTCGCACATTCAAGCTCAAAAGAGATTCCTGAGATGACTGTTTTGCTGCCCTCGCCATGTAAATGATGCTGCCACACTAAGCCTTCTCCTGCAGTATCTATTTTATCAGCAGATGTCTGTGGACTTCATGCTGCCAGATTGCCCTGTGATCTCTGTCAGGCCTACATTTATGAGAAATCCTGACACATTTATTTCTAGAGCCTGCCTTTAGCATTCAGTGTGTGACAAGAGTACCACTGTGGGTTGTACCACAACGTCAGTACGTATGTTGTGTCAGTGCTGTTGTGGGTGACTGACTGTGGCGTGGATGTGCACACGATTTATCTCACAACCCTGCAGTGAAATAGTATCAGTGGATGTATGCTTTCCTTCTCAGAATTTGGAGAAGGGAGACGAACCCAGTTATTCCAATTTCCCAGTGAGTGCTCAACTGATTAAACTACTAGTTATATTACAGATTAATTCTTTGAACAGGGACAATAAAGATACAAATGAAAACATCCACATTCTGTATGCCCCTTATCCTGAGAACAATAACTTATGTACTTTTTGAAACTCATCTCAGGTACCACAGTAGAATAGAATTACTTCCCCATTAATTTTTTGGTAAGCCACTTCATATGTAAGAACAATGGCATATCGTTAATTTAAAACTGTTACATTCATGACTGAAAGGATTTCCAGAATAGCCAAAATTTGTTCATTGATATCTAAAAAGGTCCAAAAGTCAGTTTGTCTATGAATGACACCATAACACTCTAACAGCATTAGGCCAAAAGTTTACCATACATAAACCAACCATCCAAATTCTTCCTCTAAAGCATAAAAGAACTCTTAGTTTTGTGACCACTTGTAAATATGCAAATAATATTCCCTTATAAGATCTTAAATACATTGTCATGTGAAATGATTAACACTACTATAAATTTGGAAATGTTGAGATTCGCAATTCCAAGTGCTGATTCTCTTACGTACTCTAAATGCAGACTTTAAAATTTAAACATAGTAAGAAATGCTATTTCACAACATCTGCTTCAAGTACATTATGATACCAGAATGACATAATTGTGGTCTAAGAGCAGAAACTAGGAAAAGGGCTGCTATATCATCTTATTCCCACTGAAAACAAACCAACCAACCAACCAACTCATTCCTCTGCTACCTGACTGGTCAATCAGTGTGCAATAAAATAAAAATATAAGTTAAATAAAGTTAAAATAATAAAATAAAACCCCTGGCCTGAACAATTGAATGGTGAGAGAAGGGGAAAGGCTGTGGGGGAAACACACCAGACTACCCTGGAACTCCAAGGAACATCTTTTGTATGCCCTGTGTAGCACTCATTTTACCTGTCCATTGCGGTATCCTAGTAACGCTATAACTCTGAAAAGTCCTCTGTAGGCAGTTCCTTGGCAAATTTTTAGGAGATTTAGAGCTGAGAACACCTTCAACCCT